AAAAAATTTTTTTACTTCATTAAATTAAAATGATTAAAATGAAATAATAATTGATAAGGGAAAATGGATGATAAATATATAAGCTATGTTATTAAATCATAATAGTTTATCCTAAAATGAGTGATTTTTTTTTCAATCAAAAATTTTTTAAAGTTTTATATCTTTTCAAAAGATTATTTTATAATATTTAATAATATTTGTTATTTTTGCATGCATTATCAAAAATTTGCAAACCAAAATGAATGACTTTTTTTTTTTTTTTTTTTTTCAGGATGTTCACCAGATGAAATTATGTCACATTGTTTACAATCATCATCTGATCGTTATGATGAATGCACACGGGAATTATGCAGTCGTTGCATCCTTCAAGCATCAATACTAAATCCATTTGGTTCGTTTAAACATTTTTTTTTCTTGACCTTTTTATAACTTTTTTTTTTTGAAATTATAAATTTTTGAATTTTGGAATTATTAATTTTGAACTGTAACTTAAAAATTAAAAATTAAAATTGTTTATTTTCAGGATACATTTAAAATTTTTTTTAAGACATTTTTTTTTTTAATTTTTATTTCAGCTGATTATTGTTACTGGATGATGTCTTGTCTTTGTGCAGTAACCAGTTGTCAGAATTTATCACAAACTGAATGTTATTGAAGGTGTAATTAATAAGAAATGAACATACGGAATCGTAGGATTACAACAGTATGCCGATGATAAAAAAAAAAAACATTTGTGACCGTATGTGTAATACCGTATACGATAACTTTTCATTCAATTGAAAAAACAAAAATTGATAATTTGGTTACAAAATTTTATCAAATAATAAATATTTGTTTTTGTTGTTGTTGTTCGTTATTCGTTATGGCAAGTAAAATATTTATTCTAAATTAAAAAAAAGATAAATTGAAATAAAATTGAATCGGATTACGGTAGGCTCATTTTCGTACTTAAAATTGTCCTTTAGGAATGAAAAAAAAAGTTATGATTTAAAATGATAATAATCATCGAGACATAATGAATTCATTGTACTTTTTAAAAGAAATTACTTTTGTATTTCCAGTAATTTTACTTTTTTTTTTTTATGTTCAAATTTCAAGTAATGAATGATGGCAATAGCAATTTCCCTTAAAAAAAAAAAAGATATATTGCTTATTATAAAGATGCTAATTATTTATTTAAATTAAAGCTTTGCTTTCTAACTTGCACCTATGCTTTAATTATCATAACGAAGAAAAAATCTATTAATCAATTTATCAATTCGTATAATTAACACTCCCTAATTATGTCACAAGTAATTAAAAGCATATTTATATTGTGCATCTAATATTATCCAATGCAGGATGATTGTAATAATTATTATCATTTTTATCTAACATTTACATCATAATTAATATCACCTATACTAAAAATTGCACGTTTATAAGAGTAATATTTACAATTATTTTGAAATGATTAATAAATCATTCGAAATGTAAACAAAACATGTTAAAGAATTGATAAATAATTGGAAAAGATTATTAAATTATCATTTATGAATGAGCTAAATTTCAAAATGCAATCATATTTTTGTTTATTAAAAAAGTAAATAAAATTTAAGGAAATATTAAACTTCAATATTATTTGAAACTATTTGTTTTTTTTTTGTAATTTCAAT